TGGGTCCCCGCCAGCCCTGGCACTGCCGCCCTTTGCTCCGTGCCCTGCAGCGCGTCCCCAGTGCCGGCGGGGAGGAAGGTCTGCAGCCGGGCACGTGCTGTGCCCTGCAATTGCACCCCGCAAATTCACCCCCTTGCACTGTGGGGCTTGCAGGGCTGCCCAAGCGCGGCTGTGCTGCGGTGCCCATGCGCTGTGTGATGCCCATGCCATGATGCAATGCCCACGTACAATGCAGTGCCCGTGCTCAATGCAGTGTCCGTGCCACGGTGCGTTGTCCACACCGTGATGCAATGCCCACGCACAATGCAATGGCCATGCCACAGTAGGGTGCCCACACCCCCATGAAATGCCCACATGCAATGCTATATCTGTGGCACAATGCAATGCGCACACCAAGATGCCATGCCCGTGAACCATGTAATGCCCACCCTGCAATGCCCATGCAGAATGTGATGCCCATGCCATGAGGCAATGCCCGTGTGCAGTGTGATAGCTGTGCCACAGTGCAATGTCCACACAACGATGCAATGCTGCTGCTGCACTGCAGTGCCTATGCACAATGCGATGCCCGTGTGCAGTGTGCTGTCCCGTGCCATGGGATGCCCGTGCCACGACGCAATGCCCATGCTGTGATGAAACACTCATGTGCAATGCAATGCCCACACCAAGATGCCATGACTGTGAACGATGTGATGCCCATGCTGCAATGCCCATGCTGCAATGCAGCACACATGCCACAATGCAACACTCATACTGTGATGCAATGCCCATGCCACGACGCAATGCCCATGTGCAGTGTGATGCTCTGCCACGATGCAATGTCCATGTGCAATGTGATATCCATGGCATGATGCCCACACCAAGATGTCATGCCTGTGGATGATGTGATGCCCACTCTGCAAGGAGGTGGCTGTGCCAGGATGCAACACCCGTGCTGCGGTGGTGCAGGCTGCCTGGTGCTGCCATGCAGTGCCCAGGCCATGCTGCAATACCCGCACCGTGCTGCAATGCCCGTGCTGCCATACAGTGCCCAGGCCATGCTGCAATACCCGCTGCAATGCCCGTGCTGCCATGCAGTGCCCATGCCACACTGCATTGCTCACGCCAGGCTGCAGTGCCCACGCACAACGCAATGCCTGCACTGCGCTGCCCACGGGCACCACGGTGCTCACCCCACACTGCTCACAACAGCAGCCCCACACTGCGACCCCCGTGTCCGCATCCCTCGGGAAGCAGCCGGGGGCTCCGGTTCGCGCAGCCGACACCAGGCGGCGCGAGGCCCGGCCGCCCCGCGGTGACGGCACCGGGCAGACGCGCGGGGAATGCGTCCCGGCGCGAAACGCCGCCCGCCGTGGGGACGGCCGCGCGAGCCGCTATTTCCAGGGCCGCCCCAGACAACGCGCTCACCCCAGGGAATTTTTTTGTCTATTTTTACTCCTCCCTTGAGGACGGGTTGCTTTTTTAAGAGAAAAATAAAACCCAACCTCCCCCCGCCTTGCACCGCCGCAGCAGCGGGGAGGGGTTGCAGAGGGAAGGCTCGTGCACCCAGACACGGGGACACGTTGCAGCCTTGGTCTCCGCAGCGCCAAGCAGAGCAGCCCCCTCTTCCCTTTCTGCCTCCAGCAGGGCTCCCTGCCCTGGCAATGCCACCAGCAGCCTGTTTGCTCTCCCCACTGCCTATTTTTAAGCAAGGCTGCATTCCTTGCGTGTTATCTTTATTGCTGTGACGAGCTGGGTACACCTGGGCTTTATCACACGGGCGGCACGGGACGCGGTGCAGGGCAGAGACGGGAGCAGTTTGTGGCCCTGGTTGCCCTCACGCAGGGGCACGGCCCAGCCTGGTGACACTGTGCACACGCGACACTTTGCATGAGTTATTTCTGCAAAATTTGGCCCAAGTAATGCAAAGGTGACACTCCATGAGTGCTCACCGGGATGCAAAACGCAGGTATCCTGCTGTCCCCACCAAGGATCCAGCTGTGCAGACCATGCAGCTGTGCATAGGGATGATCCAGCTGTGTCCAGGCCATGCACTTGTGTCCAGGGATGATCCAGCTGTGCCCAGCGAGGATCCAGCTGTGCACACAGGCATGCAGCAGTGCAGGGACCCCTTGGCCCTGTTCTCCCCTTGACGTTTTGCCCATGGGGGCTGCAGTCCAGTCAATGGCCCCACCTGCCCCTCCACACCTTCCTTTCTCCCCAAGCAAAACGCCGACAAAACCACCCTTCTGTAAAAGTGTCCTTTATATCACTTAAATAACTATAATCCAGGTATTAGGGGAAAAAAAAAAGAAAAAAAAAGAACAGCCAATCACAATAACATAGAAATCAAAATTAATTTAACCACACAAAATAAATTAAAACATTAAATATTAACTTTCAGTGCAACATATACAGAAGACATAAAAAAAAGCATGACTTAAAAAAAAAAAGAAAAAAAAAGAAAAAGAACAAAATAAGAAAAAAAGTTTCAGGTTGGTTATGATGAAGACTATGAAAAGGATTAACAAGTCAACGGAAGGTTAGAGCACCAGCTCGAGGAGGCTTCCTAGGATTAAAGGTTCATTTTGTCATTAATAATAGATCATGTTTGTCCCCAGCGCTTGCGTGGTCCCTGCGGTGCCCCGGGCTTCGCTCTGCCATGTGGGACACTGGGATGGCCGAGTCTCTGCCACGTAAACGCGTGTCCTGCCGGGCCTGGCTTCTCCTCGTGCTTTTTTTTTGGTTAACAAGGAAGAAATCCAAGCATTGGAGGGAAACCCCACAGCAGAGCGATGCTGTTGTTCTGCAGATCCAGGTAGGTGCCATGGGGAGAGATGCAAGAGCGAACGGCAGCAATCCTGGGTGATTCCAGCGCCTTGCTCGAGGTGGTGGGATATGAAATAAAAGCCGGAATTTCGATGCCCGGGGATGAGTGGGTGGCAAAGGTGGGAGCTGGACGATGCTCGTGAGCTGCTGCAGTGCCTGGTACCTGCTCCCTCATCCCTAGCACCTGAGCATTAACTGGGAAGGCTCCAAGCTGGCATCCCCATTCCAAGACGGCGGCGCTTCCCCCCAGCCGGCGCTCAGGAAAGGGAGCGGAGCGCTGGAGGAGACGGGAACTGGAGCATCCCGCAGCGACGCAAGGGAAAGAAAGGCAAAAAAAGAAAAAAAGGCCAAAAGAAGAAAAAAAAAATAGTAGTTGTGCTGGTCTCGGCTCAACGTGAGAGCAAAACTGTTGTGGCCATTGGCAGAGCTGACTCCCATCAGACCACTGTGGAGAAGCACAAGGGAGCAGGGTTATTCCATCGGGATCCGGCGCTGGGGACGCGCGTGGTGGCCCCGCTCCTCCTACCTGTCTCGGCGTGACAGCAGGACGCGCCGCCTTTCAGGAGGCCGCCGGGCTTCTCGTGCCGGCACACGGCCGTGCGGCACCACTCACACGGCTTTCGGACCCGACAGCAGCTGCGGGGCAAGGAGAAGGGGGATCAGGGGATGCGTCCTGCTCCGATGCCACACTGATGCCCCGGGAAAAGCGATGGCTATGGGAAAAGCCGTGGCAGCAGCTGGACTGGCCCAGGGTGGGTCATTTGATCCCATTGCAATGAGATTCCCAAAAAGTAACTGGGACACGCAGGGGATGCAGGAGGCATCACATGTGCTAGTCATCACACAAGCAAGATGCGACCTGGGGCCGTCACCTCCCTTCTCCGCCTTTGCCAGATGGGGGGCTGCCTTTCCTGGGAACGGGACATCTCGGGGCTCAGCCCACGCTTGGGGAAGGAGCTGGGAACCGGCCCCTCGAGTCGCCTTTGGCTTGTGCCCAAGCGAGATAGCCGTCAAGGCGAGCAGGCTTTTCCTCGAGAAGAAAGCTTCCCGGGGAAGCGTATCCGCTCATCTGCCGAGATAACGCGCGGGATGCGATGCCTGGGCGAGACGCGCACCCCGCCCAGCCCTTTGCAGCCCCAAATAAGGGCTCCGTGGGGGCCGGAGGCATCTCCCGGAGGAAATCCCGGCACCGCGTGGGCGGGCGCGAGGGCTGCGTGGGGGGACCTGCTCGGCGAGCTGCCGCCCGTACTTACTGTATGAGCACACACACCGCAATGAGCACGGCCGAGGCCACCACCGACACCACCACCAAGGCCGTTATGGTCTGCTTCTTCTGGTTGGCGGCCACCACGGCGAGGAGGTCGGCGTGCTCGCAGCGCGTCCCCACGTAGCCGGAGTGGCATCTGCAAGCGGAGCGAGAAGGGAGTGATCCAGAGCCGCAAAGGGAGCGGGATCATAGAATCATGGAATGCTTAAGGTTGGAAGGGAGCTCTAGAGGTCACCTAGTCCCACTCTGCACACGCAGGGTCACCCAGAGCACGTGGCACAGGGCTGTGTCCAAGCGGGTTTGGAAGATCTCCAGAGAAGGAGACTCCACAACCTCTCTGGGCAGCCTGGAGTCTCCTTCTCTGCGATTCCTCTTTTGATGGAAACTCCTGCGGGATGCCCGCAGGATGCAGGAAACACCAACCACCCTTAAAAAGCCCCTCTGGATCCTAACCCTTCGGCCAAGGCTCTGATCCCCACTCACATGCATGCTGGCTTGTCCTCCTGAATCAAAAACCTGCAGGTGCCGTGGAAGCAGAACTGGCTGTGAGAGTCCGGGCAGTCATTAAAATGGGATCGCACGGCTGCTGCCACCGGGGGACCTGCAGCAGGGACAGAAACACAGACGGATGCATCTCCCACCCGATCCGAGCAGCTGGGAGCACTTAGCAGAGCGGGCGCGGGGCATATGGGAACCCGCTCGCGAGCAAAGCTGGGCCAGCCCCGGAGGAATTTGCTAAAGAGCTTAAAGCTGGAAATCCTTCCTGGGGGAGGAGAGAGTTAACCGGCATCTGGTGCACGCAGAGCCCGTCCGGGCGAGCTCGCCGGCCGAGCGGCTCCCAGCGCGGTTCTCGCCGCTGGTTTGCATTACAGCCCGCGCTGTTTCGAATTATCCTCCCCCGGCAGACATGGAAAACAAATATCCTGCTTTCGGATTAAGCCCTCGCATAAAGCGCATCCGATCCCTGTCGTTTCAAAGCCACCTCAAGTTCCTGCCTCCCGGAATTTATGGCAGCCTGGGGTAATTAAAGCCACGTTTTGTTAATGCTTCCGGGTCTCAGCTGGGCGATGCAAGAGCAGCTCGTGCAAATGCCCGCGTGGCATCGCAGGGAGACGGGGTTTGTTTCCAGCGGTGCCGATGCCGGAAGAGGAAAAGCCCAGTGGGATAAGCTGGTGGCACAAGGGGTGTTCTTGGTTGAACCTTGCTCCGGGCAGGACACAACCCCCTATTCCAGTTGCAGCCTGGGTGGGCTTTCCGCATCCTCCCACGGACTCCCCATCTCCTGGCCCGGCATCGGCACGTGTTGCACCAGCGCTGGGGTCACCGTCCGCAGCCGCTTTCCCAACCGGCTTCCGGAGCCAAAAAAATCCTCCCCGACACGTGCTCAACGCCGGCCCGGGGAGAGCATTGGGTGGCGGGGTCCAGGGAAA